TTTTTGGTATTCATCCCAAAAATATTGCATGTTGCCAGTTTGTTATCAAGCACAAGCACATTTGATTTGTTATCTGTGCGGCAAATCATAGAGTAGTGTGTTACAATTTTTATAGCTAATTAACTGATCGCTAGATTAAACGAAAATGCAACTCGTATGAAGGGCAGGGGATGAAGGCTAACAACTCCAAGGTCAAGATAGTTTCAGTGATTGGAGCCTCCAGTGAGAGGCCATGAATCATCCTGTGTGTAGGGATGGCAAAATTTTTCGTTTTGTCGATATATCGGGTTTCCGATATATCGGAAGCAATATATCGATGTCTACGATATATCGACCCCCAAAATATCGATATTCCCGATATATCGGGATAACGATACATCGAAAATTTTTCTTCGCTTTTCTATAAGAAAACTGCTTATTGTAATTACAAATGTGCAGACACAGGGAACATTAAGTGTTATTTAAGTACATAGAATCACGAAAAATGTTATCTTTAATTTAGATTAAACATCATGAAAAAATTAAGTTATACACTTTTAAACTACTCAAAGGTGTTTTACACTTTTGTACTTAGAAATGTGGCTAGGTTAGGTAATGCCAAACTCTCTAAAATTGTTTATCACAGTTTAATTGAAAGTCATATAAAATACCCCATTGTGCTCTGGGGTAATTCAAGCAAACATAACCTGCAATCTTGTTTTGAACATTTTAGAAACCTAGAAATATTAACTGTTCCATCATTGTTCATTTTTGAAACTGTTTTATATGTTGAGGAAAATAATTTTGCTCAGCCTCATAATCATAGGTACAACACTAGAAATAGGGCCCTCAATCCATCAGGGCAGGGCAGCCAACTGAAACGTTTGTAGACGAAAAGAAAAGAGAGATAATTTAAATAACAAATAAACCACTTTATAATTAGCCTATATTTAAAATATACATTTAAAATGTTATATGGGCTTGCGATTGGAACTTAAATTCCCAAGAAAATTTAAATAAAATGACAATTTTTTGTCATTTTATGAATCCGATATATCGGACCCAAAAACATCGTTGTCTCCGATACTATCGGGAAGAATTTGTCGATGGCAATATATCGATATATCGGGGCCAGAATATCGATGTTTCAAAAATATCGATATATCGTTGCCATCCCTACCTGTGTGTCGTAACAAAATAGTGTCTAGTTACTTCAATTTTGACAAAAAGTTCTGTACTGTATTACGATAGATTTCTAAACCATAAATTAAAATAACCCTAGAGTACCAATGTTATTAAAATAAGCTTTTTCTATTGACTCTTGTCTATAAGTATAATTTATACCACTTAAAGTATTTGACTTAACCGTGTTTTGTATTTATTTGTTATTTTCCTATCAATTCAAACAAAGGAGGTAAGTGTAGTTTACTTTATAAATAATAATGTAATTACAACTTCGAAATAATGGGATTGCCCATTTTAACCAACTTTTTGCGTTATCCAACCTAGTCCGGTCCCATTAGGGTCGAGTAAGACGGGTCTACTGCATACTGCAATTTGGTAATTTAAATAAGCTAAAGGACTATTGTCTTGCTCAAATACAGGACATTTTTTTATCTTTGCCCAACTGTCATTTTTCACCAAGCTGTTATTTTGAGCCCAAAATAATGCCGTACTGTATTCTATCAATAAATAACTTCAAGCTTATGTGCATTGACCTATGCTTTCATAATGACTTTCTTCCGGCTTCTAGCGGGCGCATAAATCACAGGAATCTTTGAACAGCTGTAATTTTTTACTCCATTGTCCGCTTGGATTGGGTTTGTGGCATTGTGAATGTTGTCTGACTCCTGATGGGCCCCCATCAAAGTAGCACTAAAAAGTGAACAGGACATTAAAAAATATATTTTTTTTAAATGCATTACACAGTTCCGGGACTTTTCAAACACACAGTAGGCCTATATATAACTAGAGGTCGTCCGAAAACTAGACTAAAATTAAATAATCTACAGACTTCTCTATTTTCACCCAATGAACATGCGATTGTAATTTCTACCGTTAGTTTTGATTTTCTGTTTATGTATTTTGTGGTTATTTCATCATCAGCATGGCAAACCATAAGGACCACGTTTTAAATTTTTTTTCGATTGATAACAATTTAGCTTGTTGGCGTTTTCTTGCAGTTATTCCCAGTGCAAGCAGTCGTTAGGAACGTTCGCGATCGACAACACAAAACCCAGTATCAACAACAGTCAACAGCGACGTCAAAACGACATTTTCTTTGTGATTCCAAGGACAAACGCAGATACCATAACAAGCTGTGGCGTTTCCAGCAGTTACGTACGAACAACATCAATATACACAAAGACCAATACCAAAATAACAGCAACGACGTTTTATTAGTTTACACCGATATAGATCACAATAGAAAACACAAAAGCTGATGCCAATTACAGCGTCGGTGTTTCTTTACCGCGGTTACGTAGGATACGTAAAAGTTGTAAACGATTGCGATATGCATAAAAGAAGATCAAAGATAAAAGAAGATAAGAACATAAAATATGTAACAATAGTGGCAAAATTTACTGCAGCTCCGAGTTTGCTCAAGAACGGAATTTATGTGGAAAATCACGAATTTGAAAATTCCCTGTTGAAACACAAATTTGCTCATAATGTTTTTTTTCAAAGTTTTCCGGTCAGTGGATGCCTTGTATACAGAATGTCCCGTAAGTAAACAACAAAACTCCGGGAAATGGTTCTATGGGTCAAAATAAGTCGAAAATAAAGAATAACATTTTTTCCAAAATCACTTCGTTAACCAGATAGGCCTATACGCCATTTTGTATTTTTTTAAATTTGTTTTCTTTGACGTTTTTTAACCGATCTTTATGAAACTTGGTATTTACTTTAAGGTAAACAAGACTAATGTTAGAAAAACAAATCATCTTGGTTCAACTCAAAATTCCAAATGGTGGCAATTTTAATTTTTAAAACTTAGATTACTCAAAAACGGAAAATTTTACGAAAAATGCCAAGAATACTTGTTCAGTAAACTTGAACCATTTCATATATTATAACACTCTATGTTTTCTTCAATGTACAATATCTTTTCCTTGCAACATGTGTTCCTAATCAAATTAAATTATTATATTGTTAACATATGTTGTATTCAAAAATGTAAATAAATCTGAGTTCTTGTTCTTTTGTAACCATTAAAAGTGTGTTCATTTTTTCTCCCTCTCATAATCTCAACTTAATATTTCCATTTCTCTACATATTATCCCTCTGGTCCTTCGAACTAATTCTCATTAAACCCCTTTCTCAATTATTCTCTCTAACAATTCCCTAATATTTAATTTAATTCTCTACAAATCATTCAATACTTTTATTGGTTTAAAAAGGCTAAAATATTCCTGTTTGTCCTATTTTACCACCAAAAACCGTTATATTTAAGCCATTTCTTATTCAAAATTTTTGAACTTGGTATTGTTTGATAGGAAATTAATAATGCTAAATATAAGTATTCGTGACATCTTTTCATACAATTTGCCGTTTTTTAGTAATTCAGGTTTTAAAAATTAAAATGACCGCCATTTTATAATTTTTCGTCGAATCAAGATGATTGTTTTTATCTCAAACTGGTCTTGTTTACCTTAACGTACATACCAAGTTTCATAAACATCGGAAAACGCCAAAGCTACAAATGTTTGAAAACAAATACAAAATAGTAGATATCTGGACAACAAAGCGATTTTGGAAAAAAATTTTCTTGATTTTCACCTTGTTTTGATTTTCACCTATAAAACAATTTCCAGGAGTTTTGCTGTTTAATTACGGGACACTCTGTACATGTATAAAATGACACACATACAGAACGGTTTTAAACATAAATTTTTCCCTAACATAATATAGACAGCAATCAAAGATGCTGCATGTCGATAAGCGTTAAGCAAAAACACGTCTACGACGTAAGGACGTTGGGGGGGGGGGGGGGTTGATCGTAAACGTTGCGAAATAGAATGCAACGTGAGGCCGGCAGTCCACTCATGAAAGCGCGCGGGGGGTGCGTAGCCTTGGCGCTGAGAAACCAGGCGATGTGGCAACGTTGGAATGACTCATCTGCAGTTGGTTCACACAGAAAGTGTCAAGTTCTTGATTTATATGTTTGTCGGGCAGACAAACACACTTTTACTATTGTCGGGGCTATTAACACACTTGTATGTTTGTCGGGACATCCCGACAGTCATTTTTAAGGCTTTTTGACATTTAAATGGAGTGTAAAGAAAATCTACCTTTACGTAGTTAATGTACGATCAGCAGTGGGTACATAATGCTGTTTGGTTCAAAAGTCCCGACAACTGTGTTTTATACAGGTGTCCCGACAAATATTTGTAACCGGGGATGTGTGTGTGTGTGTGTGTGAGTTTGGAGCATCTTAAAAATACTCAGAAATCTTTACTTTAAACTTTTGATATGGCAGAAATCATCCGATGCAGCTAATACTTCAAATGTACCTGTCAATGACGTCAGTATTGTTCAAGTCTTCTAGATCTAGTGTGACATTTAAAGGACTGTTCATTGACAGTAATTTCAAGTCGACAAAATTGACAACAAATTTAGAACAAGTGATTTCTTTCATTGTAGTCTCCCCTGATATCAAGACAGACGTGTCCTTCTAACAGCTTCATATAGGCTGGTTTTTACCCTTTGTCCACATATTGAATGAACCCATGAGGTAAAGACAACTTTAAAACCTGTAATTAAAAAAAGTGTTACCATAAGAATTTAATATTACCTTTGGCTTTGATACAAAAAAGCGTACCCAGAGGTGGTGAAAACGATCCCACTTTATTTTAGACAGAATTCAAAGACTTTAAATTCGTTTTGAAATCTTGTTGAAGACCAAGTCTATTAACTAGGTAGACCGGTTTCTCTGGGTTGTCTTACCAATATGAGAGCTAACACAGTTAGATAATGCTGCAAGTAACTATTTTTAATAAAGCCACATATTTTTGTTTCAGTTCAGTTCTTTCCTCCACAAAATATTGACTTTCAACGTGTTCTGCAACACTATACGATCAAACCAGAGTATAATATGAAAGATGATTTAATGCGTCAACAAAAGTCATTCACAGACAAAACATTGTTTGTTGTTACATGCGTAAAAGATATAAGCATAGCTACAGTGTTTGTATACGCACCAGAAGGATACTTGATAGAAAGAGTCAAGAATGTGAATAAAGATGATTGCGACAATGACAAATATAAGGATCACATAGCAATAATTGACGAACCGAAAAGGGAAAAAAACTTTCCTTTAAACGGATATGAGCAGTTAGAGTTCACCATAATATACACGTTTGGTGAGAAGACACTTCGGTGCGTCTCTAGACTGTACAAGTATGTCACTAAGCCTATTAAGTTTCAGTACTACGACATATTACAAAGATCGGAGCCACAACTTATAGATTGCAGAAAGAAAACTGAGACTGTAAGTACATTATACATCATATCTATCTATATCTATCTATCTCTATCCATCTATATATATATATATAGCTTTATATATCCATAACCACATATACATCTGTAACCACCAACCCTGTCTTATTCTTTAATGAAGCAGCATAAGGTTACTTCCTTGGACTGTAAAGATTTTACCATTAGCCCCAACCAATGGATTTTCTTTTATTTTAAATACATAGTTTACTGGTGGATATGGTCTGTTCTAATCAAATCAGGATGTTGTATTCTATCGAATTAAATGCTCTTTTTCCATATCTAAATTTTGATTCAACATAATACAAAGCTTGTAACATTAGGCAAATGTCATCCAAATATTTCCCCTCTGGTAGATTCCTTATAAATTGTTTTTTTTTTGGATCCCAACATTTTTGTTCTTTATTCAATGTTATAGTCTGTTCTTTTGTAACACAGTCAGTGTCATCAAATGACAGGATTAAAACGTACGGTTCTAACCTTTTATTATTAAAATCCCAAGACCTTGGTTCGATTTATGGAACTTGTGAAACGTTCACAGCATCTTGTGACGCATAGCGGCACGCTATATTTTATACAGTGTAGGTAAGCATTTCGCGAAGCCGGGCTGCATGACCAACTCGTTGCCTGCCGCTACTGCGTTAACGCGCTATCCCCACCTTCCTACAGTCTTGTCCTCCCGTCCTTGCTCGACCATCCTTCGTCCAAGAAAGAAGTAGCATTTTTGACCAGCCTTCTACGTCACCTTATGGATAAGTTATTTGACTATAAGTTGTTTAGGACAAATAAGTTGTTAGTAGAAATAATGTTTGGCTAAGTCAGGTAACAAGCGGGGAGCCCTTCTAGCTTCTCCGAATATAGAAATGTATAAATAAACTCTTAGTTAGGATGGCTGCCTTCTGTAGCCATCCTTATCAAAATTGTAAATTGGTAACGGAGAAAATTCAAAAAATTGTAAATTTAAAATTGCCATGTTATTCGTATATAGAATATTGTAAAATGTTGTTGCTTGCTTGTTTATGAATATACTTTGATCAAACTTGGCAAATTTATTTATTTTATACTAAGCTATTAATATTTTACTAAAAAATACATTTTATTAGTTTCTTAACATAAATTAGTAAGTGAATAATAATCGTGCGTGCTATCTCGGGTATTCACATGCCTCTCAATTCGTCATTAACCTAATAATATGAATGCGAAACTTAAATCCACCGAAGCTGTGTAACGTTACCAGACTGACGATTAAAAAAATGACACCAAAATTGATTGAATCAAAAATTACCAGTGGTAAGTTTAAAGGAGAAATAGTCCTAATACCAAGAACACTGATGATTTAATCCGAATTACCCGTTGAATTTAAGCAACTACAATTTCCTATGTGTCTTGCTTTTGCAATCACCATTATAAGGCACTAGGTCAATCCCTGACTATCATCGGTTTAAATTTGTAAAATGCATGCTTTTCACACGGACAGCTGTATGTTGCGAGCTCACGTGGTGGTAGGTACGCCTGAAAACTTATATATTTATACACCTAATGAAAAAAAACAAAAAAAACATTGTTTATCTACTAGCAATTAAGTAAAATATTATATTTATATTTTTTTTCACTTTTATTATTCATCGTAAAGAACAAATTACCATTTAAAATAATAGTTGTTAAGCGCAGCAACGCGCGCCGTGTAACTGCTAGTTCAGTATACATAGTAAACTACTAGATGTCAAAATTATTTTTTAAAAGCAATCTTTATAATCTTTAGTTTGTTTTAGTGCAATATAATTTGTTATAACTACCTGCTGTTTAGATATAAAAATATTCTATTGAAATATAAAGTTACTTTATTTAATCTATGATTTTGTCATTGATTATAAAAAAATAAGTAAGATTAGTTGAGATAATCAGACCACAGAGATATGGAAAACGATTGCTGAATACGAATCGAGCCTCTTCCTACAAAGACTTCAAAGAACAGGATATGCAAATTTTTTTTACTGCTCGACTTTTTGAGGAAAGAGTAGTAAAATAACAATCTTTACGTGTTTTAATTCATCTTGGTATCTTTTTGTTTACAGATTTGGCCTAACCTGAGGTGGTTACAGAAGGAGGCCATCGTATCAAGAGTTCAGAGGATGCTGAGACTCGGAGATAGCGAACAGGCATCACAGAAACACAAGGTAAAGTAATGGCTTACGTCTTATACAACAATATGTTAATCAACAATGTTACTATATCACTAATAAAGTGTTCGTAGACCGTCGAGGCTTAAATTAAAATATTAAAATATAATAATCCAGTGATCTAAAGTATAATAATGTACTACAGAGAAACAATGGTTTTTGAGTCGCTGTAAAATAATAGGACAACCAGAAATACAGGGTAGGACAGGGAAGTATCACTCATTTTGAATGTACATTAAAAGACAACCAAAAATATTAGAACCAAACTTTATATTGGGATTAAAAGGTTACACCTGGGAGATTTTTTTATATAACTTGACTTAGTTTTAAACAGCATATCGAGTGGTGTCCCTAATCGTAAATGCACTGCTGTATTCTGGTTCTGGAGTTGATCATAACTCTGTGAAGCATTTGTCGTAATGTGCGGCCAACCTCAAGGTGAATTGCGTCCTTCAAGGCATATAGGGTCTTCTCGTGAACTACTCTAGGCTTAGCATCACTCCAATAGAGCATATTCTACTTATTTGCCGCTCCAGAAATATGGAAGTGTCTCGTCACTAAACGAAGCCCGAGCAACATGAGGCAGTCCCGCAATTAAGATTTCACATGCCTGCATTCGTTGTTGCCAGTCCTATTGACTGCTAAATCGATCTTCTGACAAGGTCAATGTTTTCAGGAGTTCGGATGGTTCTTTGAGCTCCAAATATTTTTCGCAATACACCACCACACACACACTGAAGTCCTTCAAATTGTAACAGCTTTGCGACAGGCCACCCGATAACACGATCTCAGCCAAAGCTAGCTACACAGCAACAATAGACAGATTTTTGAAAAAAATGCATCTCGAGTGCAAAAGCACATTCCTCACTCGAACAAGCCATATCTACTACTGAAAGTGATATTCTACATTCGTGTAGTTCTTGACAAAAGACTCTAATACAAAACTAGATGTTTGTCTCTCGGACTTGACATGGTATCAAAAAGAATTGATATCTTACTAATATCATAAATGTGAAAGTTTGTGTGTTTGTTTGTTTGTGTGTTTGAAGTTCAATCACGCATTAATTACTGGATGGATTGAGCTCAAATTTGGCATGATGATAGCTCACATTCCCGATTAACATATAGGCATATTTTTATCCCAAAAATCAATCAACAACAAAAACTCAAAACTCAAAACTTGTTATCAAAACTCACAACAAAAATGAAATAGTTAGTATACGATGTCCTAAATGTTATTTTTACTCCTGATATTTTAGTTCTAATAGTTATGGCAGTTATGGTAGTTGGAAAGCTTGAGTTTTTCGCATACTTGTCTTAACTTATAGATTCAATTACATGCTTAGTTAACCAAACAGGATATTTACATTGATTGACAAAATAACACTTACTGATCAATGCGTATTGTAAATAACAATGACAACTGTATCATAGGTTTTCATAGGTTCATCATGTAGATTTTTCAGCTGATAAATCTATTTTAATTATACTAGTGTACATGTTGCTTGAGATCAAGCAATTGCAAAGTATTACAGGAGTTTCTTGAAAATGACTGATGGTAATAACTAATCGATGAGTTTAAAAGAGTCAATTCAAACTACTCAATGATTATTTTACTAATGGAAATACTCACGATTTCATAGCAGGTTAATGTAAACAACATTTCTTTTAAATAAATATCTTATCATTTTTCAAAAGCTGATCTCGTGTTTAGTGTTTTCTAAAAATGTTTCCCACTTACAGCCGCATTAGGTTGTCCATGTTTATCTTCTAGATACATTGACTGTTTACAATTAACATATGTTCTTCTCACTTTTAATTTCTGACAACAGCTGAAGTTTCATAACAATGTTTCTTTCCCATGTTAATCTTTTGGAGAAATACGAAACTTTAAAGGGCCCCCCATTTTCAGGGCCTCACTCTCTAATTATTTCCCAAAAAGAAAGTATCCTGCACAAATTCACGTTACGCTCTTTCCAATGACACTAAAAACATGTTAATCGGTTCAGTAGTTTTAGAGGAGTAATAGTCACAAAAAACCTGCTTGCGTATTAAATAAGTATAGATTATAATTGTATTGAATGAATGAATGAATGAATGAATATATAGTTTATTCCAAAAAATATTGGCTACAAACAGTGATTATACAATCAAATATACTTAACAGAGACTTATGACACTAAAAATAGTAAAATACATACAAGTTTTAATGAGCCAAAATATTCAACAATAAACAATGGAACTAGCACACATAGGCAGTGCTACCTGTGCGTCTGCTAAGTTGCTGTCAAATAGAAAAAAGTAAATTATTGAATTTGTGGAATGGCAATTAAAAATAAAAGTGTTGTTATTATTAATGATGTATGTAAACGTATTTTCATGAACACAGCGCTGGTGAGTCTGCGCATTAGATTTCGTGGTGGCCAGGAGAGAGAGGGGGGAGAGAGAGAGACACAGACTGTGTGTGTGTGTGTGTTGTGAGTTCCGTGTGTAATGGTGGTAGTGAGGAGAGTGGAGAGTGATGAGTGGATTGTTGAGTAATGAGTATGAGTGGTGTAGAGAGTAGTAATTCGACTGCGGACAGTCCTAACAACGTGCCAAGGTCAGTCAGTGCAAAGGTCGGATCAGGTGCGCCGGTAGCCCGCCGTGATAATAGAATCGGCCTCGTCAATATTTAAACTGAATAGGAAATCATTGACGCGGAATTTAAATACCTTTAAAGAGTCACATTCAAAAAATTTGAAATCCTTAAAAATGTTACATGTTACGATAGACTTAGTGTGAAACATAGTATGAATTAGTCGTAGAAAAAGTATAATTCACTTGAATTGTGGTGATTCCAACTCTAGAAGAATATCTTGTATTATATAAATGTGAAATATTTTGAAAAATGTTATTGTAATTTTTCATTGATGTTTATTAATATTGATTTTACATACAACTGGCGAATAGAGAGGACTCCTATTTCTTTAAATAAAGCGTCAGTCGGGTAACGTTTGTCCCAAATCCTATTTTTAAAATTGATTTTTGAGCAATATTTAATGGCTCCAAGGTACTCCTATAACAGCCAACCCAAGCTATAATACCAAACAAAAGTAATGATTGAACAAAAGCAAAGTAAGCCATTTTTAATTCCTTAACCGTCAAAACTTCTCTCATGTGTTTGAAAGCAAAAATTAATTTCCTAATTTTATTTCTAACATAATTAACATGATCTATCCATTTTAATCGTTCATCAAACAATACACCTAGATATTTATAAGAGTTGACCTTTTCTATACTTTCACATCTGCAAGAATTACTTTGATAATTGTCACATTCGTGGATTGTTAAATTGGCTAAATTGAAGTCTGTACTCTTGCTAATAGAAATAGGCATGAATTTTGTCTTAGAAACATTTAATGAAAGAACATTTTGATTTAACCACTTCTTAATTATCATGAGATCGTGTGTGGCTTTGTCATACACTTCGGGCCAGGTTTTTCCATGCAGGAAAATTAGGCTGTCATCGGCAAATAAAAAGATTTGACCAAAAATGTTTAGTCTGGAAATATTATTTATATAAATTAAGAATAAAACTGGACCAAGGTTGCTGCCTTGGACCACACCATAGTCTACTGGCAATACATTACTAGTAATATCATTAATGGAAACAAGTTGTGATCTGTTACAAAGGTAGCTTTGGAACCATGCAAGTGAGTTACCGTGAATACCAATGTCTTCCATTTTTCTCAATAATTTTTAACGGTCAACAGAATCAAATGCTTTTTTTAAATCAAGAAAAATTAATAATGGATGATTTTTTTCTGAAATCGCAGAATTTAATTCTTTATTAATATCGAACAACGCATCTGAAATATTTTTGTCCTGACGAAACCCGTACTGACGCTCACTGAGTATGTTATTGATTTGTAAGTAAGTAACTAATAGATCTTTCACCACTCTTTCAATCACCTTAGTAAAAACACTAAGCAAGGAGATTGGTCGGTAATTAGTTTTATTTGTGATGTCATTTGATTTGTATAGAGGAAATACTTTGGCTAATTTAAGACATTCTGGGAATGATCCTGTGGTGATACTCAAGTTGACTATATGTAAAAGTGGCTCCCCCAGAATATTAAAATTATTTTTTATGACGTCGGCCGATACACCATCATAGCCCGGAGCAGACCCTCCCCTTAAACTGAAGACATAGATATATATTACTTTACGTCGGAGATCTAGTTCAGTGATTGGCTGAATCGTAAAGTCGCAATCAAGGCGGTAGTCAGAGTCATTCAAAACTGGGTCCCCACTATAATCAATTGCGTCAGCGAGTGATTTACCTACTCCAGAAAAGAATTCATTGAACTCATCTGCTACTCCTTTGTATGATGAAGAAATCGGAGATTGTGAGCTAGAAACAAATTTTTCAATAGGAAACGGTTCTTTTTTATTCACCCTGCCAGCCAGTTCATTGATTAATCCCCATAGCTTCTTGGGATTCTTAGATGCTTCATTAAGTTTTGATCGGTAATAATTCCGTTTTGTTTGCTTTAAGTTAGTATTAACATTTGTCTTTAAATTATGGTAAAAATGTTTCAATTCTATATTAAAGGGTTGTCTTTTTACTCTTTTGCTGATTTTATCTCTAAATCTGATCTGTCTGATTAAGTCAACGGTTATCCATGTTTGAGTTTATTGAGCCTTGTTGATTTGTTACCAACTAATTTCTTTGAAGAATTTATACAATTAACAATTATATTACTAAAATGGCTAGAACAAAAATTAATGTCGTTTGAGTTTAAAAATACCCCCGCCGCAGCAAACCTGCCGAAAAGCGAATTTCCAGTTGCCTGAATTGATTTTCAATTAAAAGTATTTAATAAACATTAATTTTTATGAATATATAGGCTTGCTGCTACAGGGAGGGTAAAAAAGTGTGTTTTTAGAGAAATATTAATAACTTAGTATAAAATAAATAAAGTTTGATCAAAATATATCCATAAACAAGCAGACTACAACATTTTACAATATCCCCCATAAGAATAACATAAGAATTTTAAAATAACAATTATTTGAATTTTATCCGTAACTAACAATAGTACAAAAACACTTTGATATACTAAATTATTTGTTTTTTAGGCTCTTTAAGAAGGTCTGAAGAGAAATTGGGAAATTTTTCGTTTGTAGGGTCAAAAATTAGAAAAACCCATTTTTACCCCATAAAACCCACCGTAAAACCCCCTTCCCATGGTCCGATCATGCTGGTTCGCGAACTCATTCAAGTTTATCCCGCCTTACACCTTCAAACCAAATTTCATCAAAATCGGATAAAAATTACTCAAGTTATCGTGTTCACGGACACATATATATAAAATCTATATATATATATATATACCTATATATATATATATATATATATATATACATATATAAAAATTTAAACGAATGGTGTTTTTGGCCTCTGGGGACATCAAAATGAAAAAGTAAATCGGTCCCGCACCTAGGTCTTACCATGCCACCTACGGTAATAGCTACTTCCCTATAGGGAAATTCGCTAAAAGGGGCCCAGTTAGAATGTGTCAGTAGGTATGATAGTAACGCATGGTCTATGTACGTGTGTGGTATAGTGTCTTGTGACGAGTAAGCAGGTTGTGTTGTAGTGGGTTTAGTGATAGTAAGGCCAGTACTGTAGTGATCAGTGATGGTCGTTTGAATTACAGCTGATTTGACTACACATAGGTTTTAAACTTAAAGAATTGTTCAAAAACTTAAAGGAGATGTGCTTTCTACTAACATTAATGCATTTTTCAAAGCGGTTTTTTTACAATTGCAACAATATTTTAGTTGCAACAATATTTACGAAAAACTTCACTCCTTTACTCCTGCCAAAAATTTCATTGATGTTTTACATATTTTTTCAGGTGTCTATAAGTATTCAACATGAAAGTAAGTATTTACAAAAAGAATTACTATACTTCTAAGTAAACTAGGTTTATATTGTCTACAACTGTTGATAGGATATCAATGAGTTATTTTGTGAGTTATTATTTAATACATTATTTTTAATGAAAGTAAATAAAAATACGTCTAGTAACTTTTTAAATATATTTACACCTATACTGTTGACTCTCGAGACGGTAAATATATTTATCTAGAATATGTTGTTGGAAAAAGAACAATCCTGCAATTTCAAATGTAGCACAACACTTGATACAAAATAGAGGACAATCTATCCATTTTAAAGAATTGTAGACAATTATTATATCCGATAACTGATTGGAAATAATTGTATACCGATAAGGAAAATATAAAAACACTAATTAAAAATAAGTAAATATTAACTCCAGTTGCACTTATAGAATCGTCTTGTCCAGGACTTCCGGTAGCCAACGGGATATAAGTAGTGATATATATATATATTTAGATATATATTTAGGATATATATTTAGGGATATATATTTAGATTCTTGTCATTCGCATATTTTGTCTGATAACGATTGAAGTGTCCAATCGAATTCGATCACCACTTACCATCTTTTGTATGTGTATACCTTCTGTGATTTAATACTATAAGTGTAAATATATTTAAAGTTCTAAGAAGTAGTTTTATTTTCTTTCAGTAGATGTTATTACTCCTACTATGCTGATCGAGAATTATTAATTTTTACAATTAACTCTGTGTGTTTTGTAGAAAACAGAATGTTACCAAAAGGAGATTACGAAATCATGGATTTGATCAAAGATGCTGATTCTGTCGATGCACCTTCCATTATCACTTTAAAAGCTGACTCAAACATCAAGCTCAAATGCCGACAATACACCAAGAAAGGGACATCCTTGGCAGTTGGATATATAACTTATGAGAATTTAATCTTGGCTAGGTTATTTCTAGACTCTTGTCCAGTTGGCAAAGTTGAAGGGATTTACATCAACCGCCGACCACATCCGATTGTAAACGAATTTACACTTGTCTACAAAACTACAGACGGACACTGTTTTAAAATAACCATTAAGTATCAGTGTCCTGAACCTTGTGAAGATATAGTTTCCATGAACCGATCCGACAATAGACAAGTCAATTGCCCAGAAGATTGGAACAGTGACGCAGCCTTCGAGGTGACACCAACTGACTAGTTTGTACCCATTGATTTCCCTTTGAATCATCTGAATTATACGTCTTATTTACTTATATTATGGCGTATTTCTGATCCTAGAACCATAAATGGGTAATCCCAGGTGACAACGAGTTTCGTGGATTCCTTAAGGGGCGCAGTCCGAATACACAAGACCCACTCTAGGTAGACAGAGGTCGATTTCCTCGACATTTTACATATTTCTACGGTCCAATTAAGGCGAACCCATTTGCAACGTATCTTTTCTTTTATCATTGACTTTGGACAATGCAAATAACTACGTTAAACTAAAAACCCAGTAGTAAAATCCCTTAATTTAAAGCTTGGTTACACTCACAAATATTATGACAGAAAGCTGTATGGATCATAAACATAAACAAATTACGTAACTGGCCCGGATCCTACACTAATAACATTAACATATGGTTTACACGATTTTATTTAAGCAATGTTAAATCATGTTTAATATCGTGTCAGTAACATCATTTGTTTATGTTTATGATCTACACAGTTTCTGTTGAGTATTCATGTTTAGACTCTGGCGCCATGATGTTCGTAAAACTTACAGTAAGTAGGCCATTGCGGCAATACCATTTATAGTGGCATACAATTCAACCATCTCTTATATTAATACATGAGGGCTGTTTTTTGTGAACACCGCTCCTCCCTTATTTGTGGACCAATTTCAACGTTTAAGGTGTCAAAAGATTCGACCTAATTCGTAGTTTTGCATCAAGGTTTAAAATTTAAACGTTCATACCCTTAAGGGCGTGAGAACCTTTTAAAGGTTGGGTTTTGGCCATAAGAATTACATTGAACTATAAAAAAAAAACAAAAAAAAAAACAGCCGTATATAAAAATAAACTCACCAGCTTCTTGGGAGTAAATATTAATGTTTGTAATAATCAGGAGGTTATAGACCAATCCAGTTAATCAGGTTTGTTGGAAGAACAGAAAAATTTCTGCAGTTTAAAGAAGAAATATTGAAAACAGGAGGAGGTTAAGAGGAAATCTTATACGTATGAGAATACTATAAGAGAGACCTGGTCTAACAGTAAGGAATCCAGATACACAATCACTTTAAGAGATGAATAATATTTACCAATTCTATTATGCAACTTATTTTGCTAATAAAAAATTATGAACAATATAAGAAATCATGTTGTCACAGTGGTAAAGAAACCCTACCTAATGTCAGATAAAATGAATACATGCAAGAAATGTTTACTGGTAACAGCTATAAGTCGGGAAACATTAGAATAAAACACTAAAAAGTAAGGCTGGCTTCTAACAAATGATAAAATATTTTTACAATAAGTGTTTATTATTTCAATCCGTTATTAATAGAGTGAGTATTTCAATTAGTTACATAAGCTTAGAGGTTTTAGCGAATTTCCCCTATAGGGAATAAGCTATTACCGTAGGTCTCATGGTAAGAGTTGGACCCGGGACCAATTTACTTTTTTATTTTGATGTCCCTAGAAGCCAAAAACACCATCCGTTCAAATTCATATATATATATATATATATATTTATATATTTATATATATATATATGTCCGTCAGCGCGATAACTCGAGCAAAAATTATCCGATTTTGATGAAATTTGGTACAAACGTGTAAACCTACGTTTATTCGAACGAGTTCGCGAACCAGCATGATCAGACCATGGGAACAGGGTTTTATGGGGGGATTTATGGGGTTAAAATTGGTTTTTCTAATTTTTCACCCTCAAAACATAAAATTGTCCAAATTTTCTCTAGACCTTTTTGAAGAGCTTAAAAAAACAAATAATTTAGTATATTGAAGCGTTTTTGTAAGGTTATTGGTTACGGAGAAATTTGTAAATTAAAAATTCCCATGTTATTCTTATGGAGAATAAGTAAACTGTTGTAGTTTGCTTGTTTATGGATAGTACCTGGGGACCGAGCTTTGCTCGGGGAAAATAATTCCCCCACCCTGCGATTCCCCCTTTACTACTTCCTTCACCATTTCCTTCCCTTCTCATAGCATTTAAGTATTACAGATACATTAATCTAACTGCCACAAACGGTTCCCACACTCTGCGATTCTAAACTTTACTACTTCCTACGTCGTGGACCTGTTGTCATCTCTTTCCATAGCATTTTAGTATTTTAAATACATTAATCTAATTGCCACACACATTTCCGCACTGCTAAAAAGCATTTAATACTTCTTTCACCATTTCCTATGTCTTGGACATTTTTCCATCCCCTCTCATAGCATTTCAGTATTTCAATTTCAGATACATAAATCTAACTGTTACAATTGGTTTCCAGTTCCCAGACTCAACACTGCTCGCCTTTACTACTTCATTCACCTCTTCCTACGTCGCGGACCTGTTTCCCTCCCTTCCCATTGCATTTTAAGATTGCAGATACCTTAATCTAATCCTCATAAACAGTTCCCACACACCGGACTGCTCGCCTTGACTTACTTCCTTCACCACTTCCTACGTCTCAGATCTGTTTTCCTCCCTTCCCGTTCCCATAGCATTTTAAGATTGTAGATACCTTAATCTAATCGTCATAAACAGTTCCCACACTCCGGACTACTCACCTTTACTACTTCCTTCACCACTTCCTACGTCGTGGACCTCTGTTTCTCTCCCTTTCCATAGCATTTTAGGATTGTATATACCTTAATCTAATTGTCGTAAACAGTTGCCACACTCCGGACCGCTCACCTTACTATTTCCCTCACCACTTCCTACGTTGCGGACCTCTGTTTCCCTCCCTTCCCATAGCATTTTAGGATTGTATATACCTTAATCTAATCGTCATAAACAGTTCCCATACTCCGGACCGCTCACCTTTACCACTTCCTACGTCACGGACCTGTCTCCTTACCTTCCCATAGCATTTTAGAACTGCAGATATTTTAATCTAATCGTCATAAACAGTTCCCGCACTCAGGATAGCTCGCATTGACTACTTCCTTCACCACTTCCTACGTTGCGGACCTGTTTCCTTACCTTTCCATAGCATTTTAGGATTGCAGATACCTTACTATCCTTATGGAACAGCTGAAGCCACTTTTATTGTTAGTTCTGTCTGGTTTTAGCGAATTTCCCATATAGGGAATAAGCTATTACCGTAGTACTCATGGTAAGACCTGGACGCGGGACCGATTTTTTTTTCGTTTTGAGGTCCCTAGAGGCCAAAAACACCATCCGTTCAAATTCATATATATATATATATATAAATTTATATATTTATATATATATATATATATATATATATATATATATGTCCGTCAGCACGATAACTCGAGCAAAAATGATCCGATTTTGATGAAAATTGGTACAAACGTGTAAAAGTACGTTTATTCGAACGAGTTCGCAATCCAGCATGATCGGACCATGGGAACGGGGGTTTACGGGGGGTTTTATGGGGTAAAAATAGGTTTTTCTAATTTTTGACCCAAAAAACATAAAATTTAGCAATTTCTTTCCAAACCATTTTGTAGAGCTTAAAAAAACAAATAATTTAGTATATTGAAGCGTTATTATGCGCCTAATGGTTACGGAGAAAATTCCAAAAAATTGTAAATTTAAAATTCCCATGTTATTCTTATGGAGAATAAGTAAACTGTTGTAGTTTGCTTGTTTGTGAACATATTTTGATCAAATTTGGAAAATGTTTTTATTTCTTACTAACTATTCACATTTTACAAAAAAAATCAGTTTTACCCTCCCTGATGCAGCAAACCTAAGTACTTGTTAAACTTATTCTATTTAAATCAAGAATAAATGTTATATTTTTAAGTAGACATTTCAGTGTAAATCCAATCAGTCAAATGGAAATTCGCTTAGTCTGCAGGTTTGCTGCGGCGGGGGTATTTTAACTTATCGAAATCCAAAATTATTAACGCGTTTTATTAAAATTATTAAAGTTAGTCGGGGAACCCCTAATTTTTGCCTTATTTTTACAGAAAAAACGTAATATTTCAGTTATCTTTTGTCCGATCTTTTTGATATTGTTTGATAGGCAATTAAAAATGCAAAAAAAAAGTATTCTTGACATTTTTTCATAGAATTAGCCGTTTTCGAGTTATTTAAGTTAAAAAAATTCAAACGGCCGCCATTTTGAAATTTACAATTGGAACAACTTTATTATTTTTTCTATAATAGGTCTTGTGTATGGTAACATGTTTACCAAGTTTCATAATCATCGAATAAAAAACTTCACAGATAAAAATATTTTTGTATAAAAAACAAAATGGCGGATATCTGGGTAAATATGCATTTTCTGACATACCTTCCCAAAAACTTTTTTCTTCCTTCTAGTATGGGGATTCATTTCCCAAAGTCCTGAAACGTTTTTTATGGACACCCTGTATATATATATGAATTAGAACGGATGGTGTTTTTGGCCTCTAGGGACCACAAAACGAAAAAAAAATCGGTCCCGCGTCCAGGTCTTACCATGAGTACTACGGTAGTAGCTTATTCCATACGGGAAATTCGCTAAAAATAAATGACGGAAAATCAACTCAATTCCTCAGATAAGTTGATAAACATCAAACGTTGGTAATCAATCAGTTAGCAACACGATACTTGAAATATAATCTGAACTGAATTACAATAATCCACGACAGACGGATATTAGACACAAAGAGACTTGACAAAGAGATTCCACACAATAGTAACAGGTGGTAGCACTGTTGTGTTTTCAATAACATGGGACCCACTGTTACCTAATTTGTATGTACGATACGTTTGTGAACCAAACATATTAAATTTAATATTTTAAAATAATATTAGCCTTATAACCAAACGAAACTCACTGAAGTTGGAAAAACTGTCGTTAAAAACTTTACTTTGAAATATTAATATTTTTTAGTGCCACAAAAAAACTTTCTGCTTCATTTCTTGTGATATTTATTTTCACAATGGGCAATCTTGTCAAGTCAATGAAGATTTTAGGAGTTATGACTCTGATAAAAAAATATGCATATATATAACAGCACAATTCAAATGTAGTTTTTTGTTAAGCCTGAGAACAGAGAAATTTGTTAGTTACAAATAAGACTTA